ACTTCCTTATTTGAGGTTTTTTTTTTTTTTTTAATTGTATAATAGTTTAGTTCTGAACAAGTAAGACTTGTTTAAGGTTAGTTTATATAACTATGCTAAAAAAAGTAAAAATCAAAGCAAGTTACTACTCACAGGGTTGTAATACGTAATTCCACAATTTTCTAATAGAGGGATAGCAATATTAGTTCTCCAGTGTGTGGGGTTACAGGATCCACCTAGAAAAACTGGAAAGAAGACAGGATAATTTGAGAAATTGTCTTCAATTTGAACATATTAACCCTATGTATGCAGGTGAGGGTCAAAGTGCACCTACCATGATCTTTTATAGAGTGCTATTCAATATGGTATGCATTTGATGTCAGAGTTAAACTATTCATTTTACCCTACTTTGCTGATTTAGTAACAGTTTGTGGTATAGAAGAGTAAGTACCAAATATAATATACAGATATATTGAACAAAAACTGTAGATTACATTTCTGAGGTTCTATAGGTTATGAAAATACAATATGCAATGGACAAAAGTCTTTATTCTTTACATAAACATTACCTTGCACTCTGAATTAACTTACCTAACAACAAATACTTCAGTAACATATGATGTTTTATATACAACACAATGTGCATTTTACTAAAAGCTTAAAGCCTGCCACTTTGTGCAGATTCACGAAATAAATTTGCAATTATAGTCAACATTCCTTGGACCAGCCCCATGCACATTCAATCACACAATCAGGAATTCCATGATTATCTTTGCATTTCATTTTTTTGGCGCATGTTAATATTAAAAAAGAAGAAGTTTTCTCCACAATAAATATCCACATAACAACTGGATATTTGGTTGATCTTATAGTCTTCATTTTGATTGTTGTTTGTAGAATTTTCCCACAAAGTTCAAGGACTATGTATGCTTGCCATTTTTAGACTCTTGTTATTTTTTTATTTGTTAAGCTTCACAAGTTGTTTTTATGTACCTCTCAATCAGACCAAAATGTAACACACACACACACACACACACAAAATCAAGCTTAAAGCTGCGAATTATATATACAAATTAAATATTCAATTTACGCTTTTCTTTTCTTTTGGGCTAGTGATTGTCTTATTCTATTTTCATGTGTCATCATTTTTTTTTATATTTCTATTATAGTCAGGGGCCTCAAAAGATAGAAGTGATCCGGGCCTCTCCAAACCTCAGAGTGTCTGGCTATCCCTAATTTTGAGGTGATTTAATAGAGGTGAGATAGTCAACATCATCCATTGCCAAATTCTGAGTTACTCTAATCAAATAGAGGGAGTTGACTTTCAGTCTTATAACACACCTACAGCCCTAAAGTGCAATGCAGTAACCATGGAACCTCAATTGGCACCTTCAATTTGATGCTGTAAGGGGTAAGGTCAAGTAATGAACTACAGCAGAATGTTTTTTACACCTTTACATATATGATATAGATCTTTTTAAACACGATGTTCCTTTTCTGTAAAACTGAAGACATTTGTAATTCTAATATCTCCCCACCCACCTAATTTATTTCTTTTAGGTTACTCAAAAAACGCAGATGCCGGAAAAAGACAAAGAAATCAACAATAAAAAAATTATGGAAACGTTTTCATGATGGTAATGTATTCTTGTTTGTATATTACTATGTGAGAGTGATAAAGCTTTTTGCAGTTTCATTAAAATATTACATTCTGGAAACAACGTTTCCGATACTTGTGTTGAATAAAGATTCAGCATTTATATTTCGTAGAATCTTCGTTTTTTTAAATGATGGTTTTATGCAAAAATGGTTAGAAAAATATATCTAGAAGATTTTTGGGTTGACTTTTCTATGATAAATTGTTTAGGCAGAGTGTTAAGGAATAAACTGAAATCGATGACAACTGCCTGAAGTCTTGTGAAGTCAAGAGGGTAGAGGACAATGTTTCTCTTTCGTCTTCAGAAACCTGAAGACAAAAGGCTTTCAAAACTTCATCTTCTACACTTGTTTTTATAACAGGCAGTTGTCGTCAATTCCAGTTTATACTCGTCATCAATAAATTATGAAGTTTTAAATAATTGTTGAAATCACTATATCACAAATATTTTCTTTCCAAACAAGAAAGAAAACCACTGTTTTGTTGATGCTTTTTTCATAATAAACTATTATTTTATTACAATTTCTAGAAAACTTTAGTACTAATATTATTATTACTATCCTTCACCACAGTAAAGCGAATCACACATTGAAAAAGACACACATTTGATCATTTGCAAAGTTAGGTTTTCGTGAGCCATTTAAATTTATGTTTTTCACCAGAGGCTCAGCTAGCACAAAATGAGCATTATTTGTGATGAATCTGACACCAACCTCACAAAGTTACTGCCTCAAAAAAGTGGTTCTGCTATAATAAAATTTCATGAGCTTTGAAGATTTCTTTTACATAAGAATTTCCCACCGAGAAAAGGAATGGGCAGTGTTACAATATTATTGAAAAATACAGAAATAGGTAACATAGTGCAAGTTGTTTGGCAAAATTAATTGTGCAGCTAGAACTCTTATACTCTCCTCTCCATTGTACAGAAGAGGGGAAAAAGCACTGTTTTCTAAAAAGTTAAGTTGAATGTGCAGCTCTTAATATTTCATCAACAATATTTTGGTACCTCTTCTACACCATCATATAAGAATTGGAGTGATTCTGTACCCACACAAGAAGCCACAGACTTTAAAAGAACTTTCTCAAAAGTTTCTTTAGGTTTAACGTGTGGCTGAGAATATAACTTAAATTTGCCACATAATGTTTTATAATTTCAATAACAATATTTTGGTGCCTCCTCTACACCATCATGTAAAAATTGTTAAGATCCCGTACTCTTACCCCCTAACAATCAAATAGTAGAAATATTGTTATTTAAAAAATTTTCCTCCTATCAAAATGTGCAACTGGGTATTTTTCAAACTTAAAATTTGTTGCTTAGACACATTCCAATTTTCTCAAATGAAATTTGGTTTGATATCGATGCTTTACAAGGATCTAAAGTGTTCTCAATGTCCCCATCCCTTTATAACAGGAAATGAAGAAACGTTTGACATTTTCCAAAAACTTTGTTCTAAACAATGTGCAGCTGAGTATTGTATGTCCTGGAAGTTTGAAGGATGTTCTATGTGAGTATTTATTCACATAGAACATCCTTCAAACTTCCAGGACATACAATACAAGAACCTAAACCCCAATTGCCATTTTTAAATTTCTTATAATAATAAAGAATGAAGCTGCATCATCACATTAGTTATTTTTAGCTGCAGCATAGAAGCTCATAGAATGGTTCTGAGTTTTTTTTACAAGTACATATTTTTAGTTCACAACTCAATCTCTCAACTAATTGAGATATAATTACAGCAGTGGCTATTAAGGATTCCCTCTTGTTTTTAGCCCATAGCTCCATCATCTCTTGATTGAATCAAAATCTAATTACAGTTTTTGACTCAGGAGGTCAAACCCTTTTGACTGATCAACTTGACCATACCCAAGGTCTTATAGATTAATTTATTCTAATCCTGCCTAAAAGAAGTTCAATTTGAGGGTAACCTGGTAGAGATCCTGATGAATGATAAAATTGAATCAGGTATATGCTTGCACCCCACACTTGGTATTGCTGGTGCATAAAAATATAGCTAGTAAAAAGGGAACAAAGGTCTCATGAATTAATGTACTCTAATCCTGCCTAAAAGAATTTCAAGTACCATGGCTATTGAGGATTCTCTCTTGTTAATCTAATCAAAAACACTTAGGTGTGAAGAAAAGGTGCAGCCAAAAAAGAATTGAGCCATCAGTTAACGAGATCATGTTTTTGTTTAACTTAGGGCATGATGATGGGTAAAACAAAAATACTGGGCCTGGCTAACTAATGAATGAATATTTGCTATGTAATTCTTATCAATGCTATAACTGTAGCTACTAGTATGGCCACCAATTTTGGTTTCATTCCTTTAAGTCGCATACTCAATATTTTTTTAGCCATACGTTTTTTAAACACCTAAGGTGTTTTTGATTAGATCAATACACACCAACAGACCACAGCAAGTAAGAAAGTGACACTAAATAGTAACCAACATTAGCTTTAGTATTGCAACCCTATTATTTGGAACAGACCTATACTTTACAGAACCAACCAAATTATTTAAATTATATGGTGGTAGTTTTCCTCTCTAAAACATGGTTAGTAACTTATTTTATTGTAACACCAGTTTCTTGTTATCACCTGCATGCACTCGGTATATCCGCATCAAGCATCATTATTTACGCTAACTGCTAAGATAATATCACGTGACGCTAAACGCTCTTTAATTAGGAGAATATCATAAAATCTAGCAAATTTGTGCTTAAAAGTTAATAATGAATAATAACCATCCACCTGTATGATTCTTTTGAAAACATGAGCAAGAAACTGCTAACCTAGTTTGTTTGGGCTAACCAATACTCGTGTATCTGCACGTCCTTTCACCCTATAGTTTTGCTGCTCTAAATCAGTCATATTTTCTCCGAATGACATAAAACTGAAAACGGTCCACCTTTACTCTTAGGTGAAGCTGTAATAATAAATTTAGACCGATAGTTTACGTGTCTTTTTGCGTAGGCATGGCGAAAATTTTTTGTCAAAACTGAGCTGTTTTTGTTGCATAACTTTATATTTAAACCAAATTCCACATCTACTTGTACTTTGTAGGTTGGAGAGATCTATCAATGTACCAAATTAAAAAAAAAAAATCATAAAAGTATGTTTTTCTATCAAATAAGGTTTTCGTACTTGCGGTGCGAAGAGAAAAAAGAAAAGATACGAAGAACTTCAATCAGAATTGGAGATTTTATATCTCGTGTATTTCTTAATGGATTGCCTTGAAATTTGGTATGTAAAGTAAGGGTCCAGTAGAACACATCAACTGAAAATGTGATATTTGGATTACCACAGTCCGAGCTACAGAAATAGGAAAATCAATAACCTATCACTCTTGTTAGTGTTAGTAACATACAATGCGTCCTGCATGTTGTTTTGGCCTACCGTGTGTCTTGATTTCTTGAATATCACTTACTAGTTGATTTTACTCACCACCTCACTCTAACAATAACATGGCTAACCTAAAAACCCATAAACTACGAGTACATTCGTATACCGTATACCGTGGTCACGCGGCACGCGAGCTATACAACAGTACACCTTCAATCACTAGCTTAGACTTACAAAGCTTACGTGAAAATGCGGCTCATTTTACTCTAGTGACTATACTTCTGTTCTGTTAAGACTGAAACAAAGCGAAAATTAAACTAGTTTAAAGCAATTTGTTGTTTACCGATTATTGTTAATAAAATTACAAAAGTTATTGTTAATTAACATGCAATGTTATTTTTCTATAATTATAATTTTGCTTATAAAGTGATTTATAATTTCATTGTTATTATTCCAACTTACAAGCCAAAAAAATCACTAACTTGTAGGAGCACATTATCAGATTTATACATACATCATATTCCTATATTACAGTATTATAAAAAGATTGAAATTGCCTGTACAGCGTGCAAACTAAAAATTCTCCAAGTCTAAGTAGAACTTCATAAAAACAAAACAAAAAAACTTTATAACCTTACTTACTTTCATTTATGAAAACTTGAGAATAAGCCAAAATATACACTTCTATCCAGTAAATATTTCTTGTAGCAATTAAATACAAAAATTTTGTTTAAATAACTAATAAAAAAGGGTTAAAAAGTTACAGTGCTATTCTCTTTCTCCAGTATATCAAACTTACACTAAAGTCATTATTCAAAAATCATTTTATAGTGTAATGCTTTTTAAATTCACAATGTTTACAATTACATGCTGTTTAAACGTCTAAATTTCAGCAAGTATACACATAAATTAGAATCATGCTTTTAGTTTTACTACTCAAACACAGCTAAAAAAAATAAGTCAACAAATATTTTCTGTACTTACGACGAAATGTTCTGCCTGACTCTATTTCTCGACATCTGCTTCATAACAGTTTACCCAGCCTATGCTTAACCTAATACTAAAAGAGTGAATGACTACCTGACTGAGTAGGACTAATTTTAGCTTGTTCAAAGTCAAATAAACGTCTCACTATGAACTAGGTATAGCTCGCTTTTGCAGTCAACAGCTGTAGCCAATTTCGACAAGAGCCCCTACAACTGGAGCTGAGCCACGCGACACACTCATACTGCCCTCTACATGTAAATGTCACGTGCTTCCGTTTCTACCTCTACCACTACCAGTACTGGGGGTTGTTTTGTTATCGTCTGGTAAATTATGCTTAAGGTCAAATTACTTTGTTGAAACAGTTAACCAATTCGATTTTCATTGCAATATTTTTCTTAAATGTTGGTAAATATACAGCAGTGTTTTTTGTTTGTTTTTATGCAAAAGTAGTTTAGAAATGGTTTATAATTATATTTAAAGTAGTTTATTATACTTGCTCATAGATTTTGTCGACGTATTACCTCAAGGGAAGGATAAATACCTTGAAAACAATCTATGACGTAATTAAATTATTTAGGCTCAATCCGTGCATTCTTTGAAAATATTCTCTTTTAATTTTGTTTTTTTAAATAAACTACTGAAAGGAGTTGAATTCTGTTGTTATTTTGTGTGTGTGTGTGTGTTAAAGAACATAGTACATATTATCGCTATGCCTTTCGCCCACACATTTGCGATAAAAATCTTCTCGTTATAGGGTTTTCTGACACTGCAAAAACCGCCTACAATACAAAAGACAAAGCACAAACAAATTTCAGAAAAACTTTTAAAACAATCTAAAACGTAAATAAGACGATAACATCATATGATACTTCCTGCAAAAAATAATAAGTATAATAAATAAATAAAAAAGATGGAGAGAAAGAGATAGGTAAAAAATATTATTCACTTTTCTAAACAGTTTGTGCGCTTAATATCTTAAACATCAGTATGATAAACGTGATCTGAGGTCTGCAAATAACACCCAGATGATAAACACAAGTTTAAGTTATTATATGCGCGACGTTGCTTATATTAGATAGGGTAGAGTTGGTTTATGGATTATCTGTTGATAACCTTGTTAGTTAATTTATCTTGCCTGCTGCTTTAGATTTGAACTTTGAAGTTTCTTATCACTACTTCATGTCAAGCCTGTCAGTAACGGACTCAAAACTTACATTGCTTACACATTGATTGGTAGCTTTATGAGCGAAAGCTGCCTGGGTTGTTACGATAGTATTTGATTTCAGGGATAGACTGACATTCGAAACGTATTTTCATTATTGTATCTTTAGTGCACAACACTACATTTTTCAGAATATCTTTCGAAAAATATGTAAAACGTTTTTCTTTAGAAGCTAACACTATTTAAAAAATATAAAAATAGCAGGTTCATATTAATGGTATTAAAATATCAGAGTTTCAAGAAAAAATAGCATAAGTTTTTAAATAAACCATTTCGTAATATACTTTAAAACAGATAAATGACCTCAAAAGAGTTTTTTGAAAGGTTATTAATACTTAAATACTGGTTAGAGGTAACAGCAGCTCTGGTTGAAATGAAGTTCTAATTATTGGTTGCTTTTGTTGCTGCATCATAGTGCATTAATGGGCATTATTTGTAATCTTGAACAGACATTCTCCAATATTGGAATTTTTTAATCCTGCTATAATGTATTGCATCAGAAATTAACCTATGATTATTCGGGTATATAGTATTACGTCAATGAGTATCGTCTATATTATTTTGTATTAATAAGTATTGTTACGACAGCGGAAGTCACGTGACACTGGTAACACGTGATGAGTTTCTAGAAG